TATCAAAGCGTACACCTTTGGTCTATTCCTGACCCTAGTATGGTGCTAGCACACGCAGCTAACGTGGAGAAATAAAAGACGATCCATTCAAAAACGGGTCAGTGGGTTTTCCATTATTTCAAGTTCTGGGACTCCACTTAAGAGCTTGTAGAGTTTCTCCAGAGTTGGAAAGAAACAGGGTCACACCCCGGGGTCAAATCCCTAATCTAATCAGACTTAATGTAGGTCATTAATTAGTATGACTTTACCACAGCTCGGTTCATTTCACCACGTGAGAACCACTCAAATGAAAGGAGCACACTTAAAACAATGAGTCTCATTGAACAAAAAAACAAAAGAAACAAAAAGCTTTTGGGAAAAACATGCACCTTCTTATTTAAGGATTTCAAGTCAACAAGGGGATGAGTCCAGCTTTATTTACTCTGCACAGTGCTGAGGGAGTACAGTTGAATGTTAAGTCCTTCTAGCACCAAATATGAAGAAAACAAGAGTCGTTTTTAGGACGCATCGTGTGAGCAATGATGACAAATTTCACGTTTAGTTTACACGTGGCTCCAGAGAGGCTAAACTCTCTGTTGAGACGGTTTTAGTACAATCAGCTACATAAATTGTGTCGCTGGTGTAATAAACCATATCAGTAAACAGTGCTTACTCATCGTACAAGACTTTGTACAGGTACGTGGTGTCGTTGTGTTTCCGTCTGTCTTGTTTCGTTCTCATGACAAAAGGAAAACTAAATAAAATCAGATGAAACTTTACAGAATTCGGTGACTTCACTTGGACCAATGGAAATTTTAATTTATTTATACTTTTTATAGATCTGAAGATGCAACATCTCCATGTTCAAGTGCCTCTCTTTGCTCTTTTGCACCAACATTCATCAAACTAAAAGGTCAAAGAGAGGATCTAACGAGCACACACACTTACACACGTGCACTAATATCAGCTAAATTCTTGGAAAAACTTTCATAAGGATCCTAATATTTGCTAACATTGCCTTTGTTTCAGCTTCTCTGATGATCTTCTAATTTCATGGTTCGCAGTCAGAAACCATTACAGAGCTGGCTTCTGGTCAGATTGGTATTGGTTCTCAGCTCTGAACTTTCCTTTTACATAAACTTCAACAGGGACCTCTGGTTGTGCGAAACACTGAGCCTGAAAACAGCAGCATGGGTGTGTCAGCTCAGCTGTTAACATTGAGGCAGATAGCCATCTGATCAAATATGGTATCTGGAGAGTGGTGATATGGGAAATGTTAAAGAACAGCCTGTCTTTATCAGAAATAAAACCCAATCGATGCAACCATTAACCTGTGTGGTTGAGTTTACCAGCTGCCTGTGTTGCAGTAATTGTCCTTCCTGATGAGAAAACTACAGCAGAAGTTCAGTTTTGGGAATGATTTCGGGATGCTGGCATGTTTTTTTTAGACATGTTCCACAAAGGCGAGATAAAGGGCGGTGGTTTCTGATAGTCATGTCCGTGAACAATGTTTAAAGCACCTCTCCGTGGGGGGGAGAAAACAAACAAACAAACAAACAAACAAACAAACAGCATGCTCTGGCCTCACTGTGCGGTAGTTCGGGTACATGTTGTCAACTCACCCTCGGAGAGCTCCAGCTCCAGCTCCGCCAGCTTCTCCCGGACCTCCGCCGGCAGGGTCATAGCGACAGCCGGCGTGGGCTCCAACATCATCGTCAGCAACCCGGTGGAGGTTCTCTCAGCCATAGCGGTCCAGTACCGAGCACGAATAAGGTCCACTGGGTCGCAGGTGAGGAGGACAATGCAAGCAGAAATAACCACACACACACACAAAAAAAAAAAAATTAAAAAAATTAAAAACAACAACAACAACCCCTCCTCGCTTGGTTTCGGCTAGGGAGGGCAAACAGGGTGTTTCTCCCGTCTCGCTGCAACGTCGTACAGATGTGTGAGAAATGTCTCCAAAGCGTCATGACACGACGAGCTGAGAGACTATCGAGACACACCTGGCTGTGTGTGCGCCTCCATGTAAGTTAGTGTGTGTGTGTGTGTGTGTGGTGGGGGGAGAAAAAGACAACGGTCCTGCCGGTGTCTCCGTGTCTGTTTCCCCACCTCCTCTTCACCTTCCTGACTGTCGGCGGCTGCTTTCACTCGAGCTGTGTGGGGAGAACTCATTCAACTCCTCACTCGCTTCCCACGGCGCAGTCGCCATTGCATCATAGCAACAGCAGCCCTGGCCGTGCGCGCTCCCGAGGCCCTGCTCCTGGTTGTCTGTGTGCGTGCCCGTGTGTGCTGCACGCTTGTGTCCTTTCCTGATGTTCCTCATAAAACGTGGCTGCCTCCTGCTGTCTCAGTGGCGGTGCTGCGTGGCAGTGGTGTAGGCTGAAGGCTTTAGGTGTTTGGTAATTGTTTTGCATGTCACACACACACACACACACAAAAAAAACTTGAACTGATTCTTGATTTCCTGGCTGCTAAAAAAAACAATGTGTATAGTGAGGATATTTTGAATTACCACAAAATATCTGTGGCTGGTTAGTATACCAGATATAATACTCAACTCGGTAACACTTTATATAATGAGTAC